GGAGCGCCCCGGGCCTGGGCGGGAGCGGGGAAGGGAGGCCTCCAGCCCGCCCTCCGGTCTCCTCCCGCCGCCTCGTCCTCCGCACGCGCTGAAGAACCACTGCTCCGCTTGGCCTAGGACGCGGCTTTATTGGGGATGTGGGTACCTGGCCCACGTCCCCCATCACCTGCCCCCTCCTCCGAGCCAGCCCCAACTCCTCAGAGCCCTAGCACGGTCCCGGAGGGGGTTAAAACAACACTGACTACTGCTCCTGGACGGGAAGTGACTGTGTGTGTGTGTGTGTGTGTGTGTGTGTGTGTGTGTGTGTGTGTGTGTGTGTGTGTGTGTGTGTGTGTGTGTGTGTGTGTGTGTATAGCGGCGCAGGCTAGCTCCGCGACCAGATGTGCGGCTCCCACTCCAGATGTTCTTCATCTCCGTCAGACTCGCGGTCTTAGAACTCCTCCCCTGCCTTGGCCTGTACCAGGGTGGGGAGTGGATGGGGGTCACCTAGAGACAGTGAGGGTCACTCCCCGACAAGAGAGGAGTCTTCTGTGGGGGCTTTGGTGAAGTGACCTTGCAAGCCTCCATTGAATCCTTTCCCGGACCTTGGTGGGCTCTGGGAGTGTTGGGGGCTGCTGGGGTCACTCGCAGGCCAGCTTCCCGTCGAAACTGGAGAGGGCGATGGCAAAGGCCTGCAGGGCACACAGCGGGTACCGGTAGTCTAGAGTGAAGGCATCCTCCGCTACGCGGCCGAACTGCAGCACTATATAGTCCTCTGTGGATATAGACAAGGGTGTGGGCAGCCGGAGACCTCCTGGGTCATCATCCTGGCAATCAGTGCCCTCAGCATTGAGGATTGTCCCCCTCCCTTGCATTGGGACCCAATACTCAGTTACCTAGGTTATTCGCCCTCCAACCATCCTCTCTTCTTACCTCACCCAACTTGCCCCACCTGCAACTTAACTGGAAGCCCCTGAGGACAGAGACCCTGCCTTATCTTCTGCCACCAGACCTATTCATGCGATGGCCACTTAACTATAGGAACCTGTCAAACTTCCCCATCAAACTTCCCCAAGCCTAGATTCCTCCCTTTCCAACATCTCTGTTGTCTTCTGACTCCATTCCTTCTTCTTCCCACCCCCCTCCCCAGCTCACCCCAAGTTCCATCTTAGACCACCAGGCTCAATCCCTTAACTAGCCCCCTGGTTCCCTTCCTCATCCTGTGCTCCATTCGGCCCTATCCTAACGCTTCCCCCAGCATCCATATGGGCAGGAAGTTACTAAAAATACCCCCAACCTCAGCAGACCAGGCTCCACCAGAAATGTGATCTGAAGAGCAGTTATCCAAAGCCTGGGGACAGGTGACACTGGGGCACATCCCTAGGATGGAGTGGGGGGTGGGGAACTCACTCAATGTTAGCTGTCCCTGGGAACCTGGAGTCCCTTGGGAGAGACCTTTCCATTCCCAAACTTTCTTACCCCTAATGCAGACCTCTCCCCAGGCTTGTAACAGGGACATTTTTACTTAATTATGTTCTGGGTACATCTTGTTTCCCTCTTCAAGGGCAGGCCTTTGACCTCACTTGAGAGAAGACAATAGAGTAGGCACTCAGAAATGCTTGATTAATATTCCCTACGTAGCTATCTTGAAAGGGTTAGGAGCCCAGGCACTGGAGCCAGACTACCTGGGTTCTAATTCCAGCTCTTACTGTATGACCTTGGGTTCGTTTCATAACCTCTCTGTGCCTCAGTTTTCTCCTCTGCCAAATAGAGACAACAATACCTTCCTCACAGGGCTGTTGAAAAGATTTAACGATTCAGTATCTGTAAAGTCCTGAGAACAGTGTCTGGCACAGAGAAGATACTGTGTGTCTGTGAAGTAAATATTGAGGGCCAGTGTAACTGCCTGGAGGAGCTGAGAGATTTTGGGTAAGGTACTGCCTCGAGCCTCAGCACCCTCTTTAATCACAAAGGGGTTGGGCTATCAGTGATTTTCAAACTCCAGCAGCTTAACTCTCCCTTCAGCACAGTTTTACCCAGTATCTACCCCAGGGCTCTGGTCAATCCTAGAATGAGGGTCTGGAATACTGAGCCCCAAGACACCTGCTTGGGATATTTAAGGCTCCAGAGAGCACAGTGTCAATGCCCCTAGAGGAGAGAGTGACCTTCCTAGATGTTCTGGCTCCAGAGATAAAGTACAGCTCCAGGCCTGTGTGCGTGTGTGTGTGCATGTGCGTGTGCGTGTGTGTGTGTGGTGGTGGTGGTAGGGACAGGCCTGAGTGAGGGTCAGGGTCCTGGAGGTGGAGGTGGTAGGAGCAGCCTGGTCTGGGGCCCTTAGATACTCACGGTCATCAGCATGGACAATCTGGAAGTTCTTGACTGAAGCCTGAGTAACTCGGCCTTGGAAATTGAGGGTGTAGGAGCCACTGTCTTCATTCCAGACAGGTGGCTTGTTGTGCAGCTCGATGAGGCTCTCCAGTGTCTTGTTCTGCCAGCGTACTAGTAGTCCATCACTGGCCTTGGGTTTTGGGAGAGTATTAGGGAGAGGACAGTTAGGGGTGGTCTTTGTGGTATCATTGGAAAAGGGTGTGCATCTGTGAGAATGGAGCTTAGCTGTGGGATGCCAAAGTGGAGGGTTGGAAAATGGAAAGTAGCATCCATCACATAGTAGGTGCTCTGTGCCATTGATACCCAAGGGGTCTTTGGAGCAGTCACACACTGGCACTCGAATACGGGGATGAACCAGACATTCTAGGACCTACAAGGAGCTTACAGTTGAGCTTAAGGAGATAAACAGGTAAACAGTGGTTAAAATAAAATGTCCTGGAAGAGTTTCTGGAAGGAAGAAGTGGTGTCTGTATGAGTGTGCTGTTTAGATAGTTCTTTCCTGACTTTCCTTGCCACCTTTTCACATTCATGGCTTAGAGTGAGTCCACTTAAGACCATATCCTCCATGAAGCCTTCCTGACCCCATGTCTGATTTACATGTCTGAGATCTGAGCTTCCATAACACCTTGCTGTTACCATTCTACCACTGCATTGTAATAGGACAGAATTAGATACTTTAAGGGCCGGTAGAGTATTTTAGTAATTTATCTGTACCTCAGTTTCCCTCACAACAGGGTGTTGTGAGGATTAAATAATAGTGCATGAAGTGTTGTTTAAATCAGTTCTTGGCACAGAATAAATGCTCCATAAATATCAGATATTGTTTCGATGGTACCTGTTGTATTGATTTTGGTTCTACAGTGCTTGGCTTTAATAAATGATTGGAGAATGAATGAACTAAGATGATGAAGAGACCCAGAACACCGCTGGGTAGTTCTTACTGAGCCCAAATGCACAGATGGCACTGGAGAATATGTGTGTTCACTCCAGGCATGGAAGAAACAAGTGTGGGACCACAGGTTCCTCAAGACTAGAGCCTCCCATGGCTGGTGCCCCACCTGTGCACTGGGCCTCTGATTATGGTGTGACTTTCCAGCAGAGAAAGATGTGTGATCAGCTGACAGGGGTATTATTTTTCATTGTAAATGAGTAAAGTGACATCACTGTATGGAGCATGTCAGTCATCCGGTCTCTGAAATCCTAGGCTCAACTGACCCACAGTGCTAAGGAGCAGAGTGCAGGACTGACTCTGAAGGAGGCCACATTTGTAGAACATCTCTTCATCTTACCTTATACCTACACACAAACATAAAGGAAACAACCTTTGCTTTTTAATATAAGTCAAATCATGTCACTCTTTTGCTCAAAACGCTACTCTGGCTTCCTGTTTCTCTCAGGGTAAAAACCAGTTATACTGGCTCTATCTGCCCCTAACTCTCACCCCTCTTACCTCATCTCCCTGCAGCCACACTGGCCACCTGCTGTTCCTCAGACCCACCAGGCACCGTCCTGCCTCAGGGCCTTTGCACTCATTCTTCCCTCTGCCTGGATGATCTTTCCCAAGATATCTGCCAGCTTGCTCCCTCACCTCCTTCAAGACTTTGCTCAAATTTCACCTTCTCAATGAGGCCCACCCTGACCATTGTATTTAATATTGAAAGACACACACACACATAGACACACTTCTCATCTCTCTTCCCTTACTCAACTTTTTTTTCTATAACACTTATCATCTTCTAACATACTAATTTACTTATTTCTCACAATTATGGTGTACTGTCTTGCTCCCCTAGAATGCCATGAGGGCAGATCTTCGTTTTGTCCACTGACGTCCTGAATAATAATACTTGGCCCTCAATATGTCCGTTGAATGAATATATAAATGGATAATTTGATGTAAACTTAAAACAAACAAACAAACAACAAAAAAACAGAACCTATCGTGCTTGTTTCAGTGAATGCGATTACAAAACCCCAGAATGCATTCCACAAGTTGCCAGAATGCATTTGCACTGGAGTATGCTCAAGAGGTTGGGTGTTGTGGGCAAGCTAAGCCCACCACCCCCAGCTCCGCTGGAGTAGGTCATGTAGGAAGCAGGACCCTCAGGGTTGGGTGTTGTGGGCAAGCTAAGCCCACCACCCCTGGAGTGGGTCATGTAGGAAGCAGGACCCTCAAGGAGAGGAGTCAGGGAGGTGCAGGGCTCACATTTCTGGGCCGGATGGGGACCCTTTCGTTGTCCGCATTCATGCCAGGAATGATGACTGTCATGCGCCGGGGACCTCGGAAGCCCAGCACGTTGGTTTCCTGGGAGTGAGATGTGCATTAGGGAAGAATGAGTGCAAAGGCCCTGCAAGGGGTTGGGCCTGACATGGGGGACAGGTGGAGTCTCACATAGATCACAGCTGCCAGCTCCTGCCGAAGGCTTCCCAGGTCGGCGTTGCCTCCTCCACGGTGAGGGTTCTGCCCATTGTCAAACACCGTGAAGCGGTTCCCCAGGAGGTTGGACCTGCAAGCAGGGCGGAACTAGGGGCGGGGCTGAGGAGAATCCAAGACCATCCTCCTTCCCCCCTGCCAAGCGGTTTTGAGAGCTCCTTGGTCATCAACGGGGAAGGTGTCTTAGGACGGAGAAATCCGTATCCGCTGCCCCACACTTCCTCCATAAGGTATTTTAAAAAGATGAATCTAGGAGACTGGGCAGAGTTCAAATCTCAGCTCCATCTCTTACTGGCTGTGTGACCTTAGGTAAATTACTTAACTGGTCTGAGCCTCAACTTCTCCATCTGCGAAATGGGCATAACAGCAGTATTTATGTCATTTAGTTGAGAAGAAGATTAAATGGGTTAATATCTGGAAGTTACTTAGAAGTATGCCTGATGCTTAGGTAGGCCTTATGTAAGTGTTAAATACATAAATAAAAGAAATAAAGCTTGATTCAGTGGTCTACCCCCCCACCCCCCCACCTCTCAGATTTGTGGTGAGGATTAGATGAGATATGGGGAGACATAGCACAGGATAGGTGCCAAATATTTGTTCATTCGTTCACTTAATAAATACTTATTGAGTAGCTACTATGTGCCAGGTCCTGGGAATTCAATCATGAACAAGAAAGGCCCTGCCTTCATGGAGCTTATGCCCTATTCCAAGTGAGGTTCATGGATGAGCAGTGCGGGCACCAGCTGGGTGATTGTTAGAAATATAAAATCTCCCCCCATACCCCACTCCAGACTCAGTGAACCATTTTAACAAGATCCCCAAGTGATCTACACAAAGTATGAGAAGCCCTGGGCCAGAGTGTCCAATGTGGTGGGCACTCTGCAGGCACAGGGAGACACAGAAGGCTGGCCATGGCCCTCTTGATGCTCTGAGCTTCCCAGCCCCACCTCAGCTTCCCAATAAAATTCTCTCCTCCTCGGGACAGGTTGGTAGGGTCGCTGGAGATGAGGTAGTTGGCTGTCTTGCTCCGTTTCCGTTTCCTGCCAGCTAAGAGGAACACCTGGGGAGAGGTGGAGACAAATGAGAGGCTGGGAAGAGAAGACCATGTGGCAAAAGGAAGTGGATGAGGTTGAGAAAGCCTATTTGCCTTGTAGCCCCTCCCCACATCTTGGCCCTAGACCTGCCTCAGCCCTTGTTGTGGCACTTCCACTCTCTCTCCCCGTCCCTCTCCCTCCATCTCTCCCTTACCCACCTTTTTCTCGGTGTCCAAGTGCAGGAAGTAGGAGGGATACAGGCCCCGATCCATACCCTTCTTGTCCCGGGTCAGCCGGCAGCGCACCGTCCGGCCCTGGGGGGCAGGCCGAAGCACAAACTCCCGAGGTTCGTCCACTTCCACAGGTGGGGATGGAGCCCTCTCCTCCTTCTGGGTGGGGGAGGGCAGGGGGTGCCTCAGCCTCAGAGCACTAGCTCCCCTGCCCTCGGCAGATCCCCAGTGCTGGGACATAGGCAGGGCAGGCAGGTCAACTCACCACTTTCTGTGTGGGGAGAGAACAGAGAGACCAACTAGAGTGTTGCTGGGCCCGCATGCTTCCCCAACAGCTCAGCAAGCTATGTTAGGAGGCTCTGGGGAGCCTTGAATTTAATTATTATTTCATTTAGCTTGTAGTGAAGAGTCCAGGCTCTGGAGCCAGATGGCCTGAGTTCAGATCTTGATTCCACCACTGTCTGTCATGTTTGTGCCCTGACTCAGTTTCCATGTGAGCAGTAGATGAATCCCTGGGACAGAACTTACCTAATTTATACATTTAACAAACACTCATATAAAGTCTACCAACGTGCAGGTAGTTCTAAGCACTTTCTAAATATTAACTCATTTAATTTTCTTATCAATATTCAATGAAGTAACTGTTCCACTTAACAGATGAAGAAGCTGACGCTCAGAGAGGTTAAGAAACTTGCCCAAGTTCACATAGCTAGTAAGAGGTGGAGCTGGGATTTAATGCTGTCCAGTCTCCTGTTAGATTCAGAGCCTTTAGAAAGACCTTTTTTCATGTGGACACACTCTCATGGGGTGAATTGAGGTGAGGCTGAAGGTATCAACTGCCGTGTTCTAAGCACATAGCACGGCGGAAGTAAGTGTTAGCTATTACTATTATTATGAACATATAGTAACTACTCAATGTCGTAGCCAACTTCCAAGATGGCCCACAATGGTCCCTGCCTCTATTGACATCCATATATAGTCCCCTCCCACGTTGTATCAGGGCTGGCCTTTGTGACCAACAGAATATGGCAGAAGTGATGGGGGTTGTCACTTCTAAGGCTAAGTCATGAAAGTTTCTTTGGCTTCTCTTTGCTCTTTCTCTCGGGCTACCATTCCCGGGCTCTGGGGGAAGCTGGCTGCCATGTCATAAGAACACTCGAGCAGTGCTATGGAGAGACCTCCAACCAACGACCATGACAGTGAACCATTTGAAAAGTGGGTCTTCCATTTCTAGTCAAGTTTTCAGAACGACTGCAGACCCAGATGACATGCTTTTTTTTCCAGATGACATCTTGACTGAAACCTCATGAGAGATCCTGAGCCTGTGCTACCCAGCTAAACCTCTCCTAGATTTCTGACTCATGGAAATTAAGAAAATAAACGTTTGTTGCTTTAAGATACTACACGTTGGTTTATTATATGGTAATTCATAGTTATATATATAATGAACGAATAAGCTAGTTTTGCTCATGGAGAAACTAATAACAATTTGATTGTATTATGTCCTAGAGTGATCTGGCCTGGTGACCCACAGTGTCCCTTCTAGTCTCACAAACTGCATGCATTTTGCTTTCATGTTCTATACCTCACAAGAGGGGGAGCTAAGATTCTAACCCCAACTTTCCCAACAGGGACAAAAGGGACTACCAGTCTGGGTGTGTGCATTTGAGGATAAAATGCTATCTGTGAGCCACTGAGAAGCCCTGATGTGCTATAGTTGGCCATTTTTGCTGAGGGCAGGTTTGCATTGTGTATTAGGTGAGGCTAGTGTTGGGGAGGGAGTCCTTAGCCTGCGGGCAGTGAGCATTTCTTCTCCTCCCTAGGCTTCTCCAGAAGAAACTTGTGCAACACAAGACTATGTTTGGAATGTGATCTGGAGAAAGCCAGAACTTATTCAAACATTTCTACAGCTTGAATTTCAAGGACCTACTATATTAAAGGCTGTACTGCAATTATATTTATTTCTCTTGGAAGATAATAAACTGGACTTTTAGTTTATACATCAGTATCTGATGATCTTGGCTAGTGTGAATTGGTCCCCCAAGACCTGACGACTCCTGAATGAACTAACAAACCCACATAGCTAAGACTCTGGCCTTGCCCTCATGGTGATCTCTCCACTTGTGGAAAACAGTTCCTCAAAGACTTTCATCACTTTCTCTGTCCAGTTGGATCTCTCTCTCCTGCTTACTTGAGTTTGTGCATGTTGGTGCCTAAGTTTGTGAGTAAGAGCAATATTCAAAACATTTAACAACCTGCTCTGCCCATGGAATGCCCAGTCAGAATGGACACCGGGTAGGCCTAGAGGAGTGTCCTAGAGGCCCCTGACAGCCAGTGTAACCCTTTGGTCGCTAGAAGGTTGGGATGTCCTGGGTAAGGTAGCAGAAAACACTTGGGGAGCTCAGAGCTGCAGGGTGGAAATATTTTAACAACTCGTACAGTTGGTTATCAGTCAGTTGGTATGCTCAAGGGTGTTGTACATATGTGTCTGTTGGCCTGTGTGTGCCACCTCAGAAAATGTGCATCTCTTCATGGGGTGCATCTCTGGCTATGTCTGATGGTTAGGTTGCACTGGGGAGGGCTTAGAGACCAGATGATATAAGGCCCCTGGGTGGCCAGTCTCAACCTGGTGACCCCACAACTATGCCTTCTGTTCTTACAAGTCTCCCTTTGTCCTCATATTCTGTCACTAGAGGAGGAGCCAAGATTCCAATCCCAGGTGACTTCATGGTCCCAACCCATGAGGTCCCACACTAGTTCCCCAAGCCCAGGCCCCTGGCACTGTTCCCCCAAAAGACCTCAGCCCCCTTCCTCTCTGAGACCCAACCTTTTTGCCTTTTCCTTTTGCTTTGCCCTTCTGATTGCTGTTCTTGGTCACCACAGCTGCCTCCTCTTTCTCCTCGTCCTCGTCCTCCTTCCTTTCCTCTTCTGAGCCTTTGGGAATACCTGGGAATGGAGCAGGAACAGGCCAGTTAACCCCTTACCCTGTGAAGTATTTCATGGTTTTCGAAGTGCTTGCGACACCCATGTCTCACTTGGACCTTTCCCACGATCACAAGAGAGTAACCCCATATTACTATTATCAGAGCCTTAAAAAGGCTCAGACACCCAAGGTCGCAGAACTATTAAAATGGCAGTCAAGATACCCCAAGTTTTCTGACTCTAGAACCCTGCACTGTGCCCCAGATCTCCACCCCCAGGACTGCCTCTCAATGTCATGGCACCAAAGGCCACTCACCTTTCTTCTTCACAGCTTTCTCAGCTGGGCCATCTTCCCCAACCAGAAACATGGCTGCTGGGATCTTCTTCCGCACTCTGGCCGGGCTCACTGAGGAGTCCTTGTCAGCCTCCCCAGACCCTGTGTGTGTGGTTGTGAAGGGATTACAACTCCCACCACACCCGGAGGCCCTTGTTTCTCCAGAGACCAGTCTCACCTTTCTTCTTTGTCTTTTTCATCTTGGTCCCTTCCCCTGCTGGTGCCTCCTTCTTCTTAATTCGAAGAGGTTTCAGTGGGGGAACAGGGCTTCCCAGGTCTCCTAGAAATGGAGGGTGGGGGTTAGACAAAGAAAAGCCCGTTGAGGCTGAAGACCATTTTCCAACCCACTCATCGTTCCTTCAGTCCCCAGTGAGGCAGAAGGCCTGACCTGGGCCCAGAGTCTCCCTTCTGACTGGCTCTTTTCTAACTCTGAGCACGAAAAGGATTGGACGAACACCAGTAGCTTAATAAGCAGCTACCGAATGAATTAACTGAGCCTGTGAGCCCCAGCTCTCAGTCATCTCCCACAGAAAGCCTCCTCTGGCCAGTACTATAGACAGTACTCTCTTGCTCCTGCAGAGGCCCCAGGTCATAGCTGCCTGTCCACATTTAGACTAGACTATGGTACCTGTAGGGTGACGTGCTCAGGTCAGGGAGTCACCATAGCATTTATTCATTGACTGATTTTTTTAATTATAATTTTTCAATTAGAGTTGACAGTCAATATTATTTTATATTAGTTTCAGGTGTATGGCACAGTGGTTAGACATTTATATAATTTACAAAGCGATCCCCCCAATTAGTCTAGTACCCACCTGGCACTATATATAGTTATTATAATATTATTGCCCATATTCTCTATGCTGTACTTTACATCCCTGTGACTACTTTGTAACTACCAATTCATTCTTCTTCATCCATTCACCTTTTCCACTCCCCCAACCCCTCCCATCTGGCCATTGACTTTTACTATAATCACTTTGTTATTTTTATCAAAATTATAACAATAATTCATATTGAGTTAAAAAATACCAAACAAAAATCACAAAGAAAATTCAAATTTTCTGCCCTCCCTGGCTCACAGAGCACCCTAGGCAAGGGGCCAGGAGGATGGTCGGGGGACCACATATTAATCTATGTTTTTAAAGACCACTGGAGAAAACAAACCACCAGAGAAAGAAATTCTCAGGTCCAGGCACTGAGTAACTTTGATGTCTCAACTCTTGAGTATCAATGAGACCCCAATCCCATCACGGGCAGGGCTAGTTTCACCTGTGTGCTCCCTCTGTACTCTCAACACTCACCGTTCGGACCCTGGGCCTTGGCCCTCCTCTCCCTGATGTCTGCAGAAGCCTTCTCTTTAGGGGGCTTCTTGGGGGGGACTTTCACTTTCTTTTCCTCCTCCTCCTCTTCCTCTTCACCTTCGTGGTCCCCTTCTTCCTCTTCCTCATCCTCTGTAGGCAGAAACTCCTCATAAGGGGGACTGGGGAGGGTCCCATTATCTGGGGAGCCCAGCCCCTCCGGGTTGCTGGGTAGAGGTGGGTGAACGCCAGGGGTAGGAGGCTTCCCTTCTGGAACAGGAACAGGTGGAGGAAAGGAGTTCCAGCACCTTTCTTAAAGAATGGGGGTAACCCCAAAGTCTTGGGAGGTCTACAAGTCTGGAGAGTGAGCTGAAGTTAGAGCCATGCTGGTGGGTTGGTAATTCTGTTCTGAGAAAATGCCCTTCTCATCAGGTCTCTCCTCTCTCTCTCTGGTACCCTCACCTCCTCACACATTCTCCTGCTGGTCTCCCAGTTTCTCCTTCTCTGCAGCTCTCATTGCACCTGTGCTGTTTCTCCTGCTTGTCTGTCTCTTTCTGACCTTGAGCCAGACTCATCTGGGCTACCTCTGGGCCCTAGCTGTAGTTTAATGGGAAACTCTTAATCGCTCTGTGCTTCAGTTTTCCCATCTGGAAAATGGGGCAAATAACAAGAGAATAAAGGGTTTTCTGGTTCAAAGACAGAGCCAGAGAAGTGGAGGATGTTTTTCATGGTTTTCTTCCCCCGTGTCTGCTTTTCCAGTCCAGCCCCTTCCCTCCTCCTCTCCACCCCGCGCGGTACCCGCCCTCGCCTCCGGCGCTCTCTCACCGTCCCCGGCGCCGGGGGCACGGGCTACCAGAAAGGTGTCCCGGGGGTCGCGCTTCTTGGCCTCGGGGTCCCTGAGGAACCTGGAGTAGACCGTCTGTGGCGTCCCGGCCTCACCCGGCTCCGGGGCGGGCTCCTCCCGCGGCCTCGCCCTCCGCCCGGCTGAGCCGAGAAGCGAGGGTCACGAATCCCTCCTCCGACGGCGCCCCAAGCCTTGGACGCTCCCCTCTCGGACTCCCCACCCTGGGGGTCTCCTTTGGGCTCTGTTTTTATCGTCGACACCGCTCCCCCAGGTTTCATTCATCCCCCCACACCCCGCACCCCACATCTGTCCCTGCCCGGCCGCCCACTCCCGTCACCTTCGTCCCCCACCCCCGACAGGGCTCCAGGACCCAGCACTACCCTCGCCCCTGCTCAGCTCCCTCCCACCCTCGTCCCTCACTCTGGGAGGCGCCCCCGGGCTCGGTCCCCCTCGCGCCTCCAGGTCTCTTGGGCTTGGATCCCGTAGGGCAGGGGGACTCAGGGGCCTCTGTCCTTTTCTTCTTCAACTTCTGTCCCCGGGCAGGTCGCTGCTGAGGGGAGGAGTCAAGAGGAAGGAGAGGAAGGAAAGGGGGGCTCGGAGGGTTACCTGTCACCCTCTAATCCCTTGAGCTGCCAGAAATAACCGCAGATTATCGGGACGGGAACTGCAGCCTCCTTCTTGGGGTGAGGAAGGATGACCCCTCCCACGCATCATGGCCACATCCAATGCCCCAAAGCCCCAATTCCTCCCCTGGACATCCGATACCCGCAAATACCTCTTTCCTCAAAAACAAAAACAAAACCTCCAGGGAACTCCCCCCAACCAGTCTCTGCTGAGGGGGGCCCACACCCTCCCAGATCCCCTACCTTGTGTCGACTTACAGTGGGGAGGCCTTTCTGCCCCATTTCCAAGTGGGGGTGACATACCTGCTTCGGGCGCCGCTGGACCTCCGGACTCCCGCCTTCTTCCTCATGCCCGCTAATGGAAGCAAAGGCATCAATCCGTCTCCCTCCCCTGTTCCTGCTCCTCCCAACCCCTCCATCTGGGTCCCCAGAGTTCAGGTAGGCAGCCAGGGGCCTTCCGGACCTGTCCGAGGCCCACACCTCCCGGAGAGTGTCGTCTTGCAGCGGCATGTTGCATTCGCCGATCCACACCTGCTTCTGTGGCCACCCCGCAGCTCTAGGAGCCTCACTGCCTACCCCAGCTAATCCGGGCTCAACTTCGCCCCCACTTCCGGCTTGTTCGAGAAGGTGGGGGCCTGGCAGCGCTGTGAGGGTGTTCCCGCCTGCGACCCCCACCCCCATTAGGTCCAGTCTATGAGGGAAGAGGCTGAACCCACAAGTTCTTCTTAGACCCCCAGCAGCCTGAAGGATGGCATCATGTACCAGCCTCCCCACCCCTCCCCAGCTTTGAGTTAGTGGTATCGATTTGTAATTTGTCAGTGGTCCAAGGGGTGTGGAAAGTGGAAAGAAAATATTAGATCAGATCCTGTATCTTTATTTTTCATTAAAAAAATAAACTACAATTTACTAATATTTAATATATATAGATTGACAGAAGTTACGTGTTTATATTTTTTAAAGAAATGTGCCTATATTGTGGATGTATACTTAAATAATTTTTACTGATAGGGGACATGCTTTTTTAAAAGTTTAGAGACCAGGGATATAGTGTCGGTATGGATTGGTTTGGTTACGTGCTGAGGAAGCCCAAAGAACTGCCCCGAGGCTTTCTGAAGCCTGATCTAAAACTTGGAAGATGAGTGGGCATTCCACAGGCAAGAAAAAAAACACGGGCTACCTGGAAAGGGAAAAGGGAGATAAAGGCCTCGAGGTTGGAAATAGCCAGATGTGTTCAAAGATCATCTCAGGTATAGTCATCCCTGAGCCCAAGCCCTGAATGCTGCCATTTAAGGGCCGAACGTCCCTGGGTGACTTAGCATCTCTAGGCTTCTGTTTCTTCATTTACAAAATGGGTTTGATAATAGTATCAGTCGGTAGGGGTATTGTGCAGATTAAGTGAGATGACAGGAGGACAACTGCACGCAGTGAGCCCTCAGTACTTGGTAATTACCTGCGCCTTTTCAGAGCACTTCTACTTAATCTCTGTCTCCCCAACATTTACATCACAACTTGACACATGATTGGAGTTCATTTTTTTGAGTGAGTGAATTAATGAGTGCATTCTTTATTTCATTTGATTCTCACCAGAGTCCAGTGAGATAGGCAGGGTACAGATTATTTCTATTTTATTGGTAGAGAAACTGAGGCTCAGGGAGGTGTCAGCAAGATCACAATGTTGCCAAGCCAGGACTTGAATCCGGATCTGTCTACTGTCAGAGCTTTTGCCTCTAACCCTTGCATATTTTATACAGTCACAAGGAATAGAGATGGGGATTGAATGAAATGGTCAGGCTTTTTGTCTTACTTCATTCACTACCTTGTCCACGTGATTCAGATTTGCCAGAATTAATTTTTCCAAAATGCTACTTCTCCAGTTGACATATTTGCTCAAAAACATTCATTGGTTCCATAATGCCTAAGGTTTAAGTTTAAATGTGCTGGTTTGGCATTCAAGGCTCTCTCTGATCTGGCCCCAGTCTACCATTCTAACTATAAGGATGTCTGAAACCTACTCTTCAGTCACATAGGTTTCCTTACTGCCTTTATAATGTCTCTCCTCCATGCCTTTGCTCAAGCTGTTCCTCTTGGAATGCCTTCACTATCCACAAAACCTATCCAACTCTAAATAGCTCTCAAGTCCCTGCCTCCGAGATTCCTTAGTTCTCACTTGCCTCTGAATGTATAATAATAATAGTATTTCTGGACCACCTACTGTATGTCAGACACCTTGCTCCCATTCTCTCTTTACACTCACAATAATATTTAGGAGGCAGACATTAACACCCTGATATGAAAAGTAAGGAAAATTACAGCTGAAATTTGGTCAACAAATATTTCCTGGGCACCAACTATGTGCCAAGCACTGATCATTCAGGGACAGATGAAAGGAGCTTACATTCTTGTGAGAAAAATGTTAAAGAAATATATACACAATTAGTTATAATGATCTCATTATTATTAATTGTAATAAATGCCAAGAAGGAAAAGAACTAGATTGCATGAGAATAGGAGGTGAGATCCAGTCTAGATTTAGAAGACAAACAAGGCTGACTGAGAGGGGAATTTTTTTTTTTTTAAAGAGAATGTTCCAGGCATAAGGCGCGGCTTATAAGAAATGTGCCAGGCAGCAAAAAACTTGGCATAATAGAGCAGTACCACCCCTTGACCAGGACAAGAGTGTTCCTGCCTAAGACCCTCACTTCAGAGGGGTCCTGAGATCTGAAACTTCAGTTGAGTATGTAACTAAGAACTTGGGCCTCAGCTCTGACCCTACAGACTGTAAACTCTCTCAGGACCCAGGAAGCACTTCTCCTCCTCTCTTGCCCACTGTTCTCCAAACCAAACGTGTCTGTCCTGTACTGCCAGAGATGTGTGGCTGAGCTTGGCCAACGTCAGAGATGGCCATGGCTTTGTTGGGTGGGGAGGATTTGAACCGCAGAAGCTCTTAAGTGAAAGGAAAGATGAATTCATCTCTCACATCTTTTTTCCAGGTTGCATGGATGTGAGATACTTGCATAACAAATGCCTGACCCTTTCATTCAATCCCCATCTCTATTTTCTTACTTCTTTTCACATTCTAAGGTTCTCATGAAATTAGTATGATATTCATAACAGTTGCGCTTGGCAGCTGAGGAACATTTGATCATATTAAAACAATTCATGTGACTGTTAAATTTCTATATATGTAGGTCTGGAGATGTGAAGCAAATTTCCAGAACCGTTTAAATTTGATTAAATGTTTGATGTTCATTAGTTATAAACTATATTTACTTTTAATTTTAATATATAATTTGGAACGTATTAGAAGAAAAGTCACTTTTGAAAATATGTGAAAAATAATTTTAATTAAAAAGAATCTTTTAACATTTACTTGTTACTTTCGAGAATATATTCAATTTTTTTATGCTTTGAATGCAATTACATTTTTAAAAAATCTTTTGAGAATTAGAATGAATCCAGATCATGGCAGGAACAGAAAGTAGCTAAGCAGAACTCAGAAAAGAATAAAAAGAAACTTCTGGGTTTTGGTGGGGCTAGAGCAGCGAGCATGTGTGGGGAGCTTAGAGGCAGTATAAATGATCAGATTTGGATGGGGTGTATTTAAGATGAGGCATCAAGATTCTGGTTAAAATGAAGGTCAATTTAGGGTAAGATTCAGAGCAGGGACACACATAACCTCTAGCACCTTCTGATCTGCCACCAGTACACCAAACCTTCCTCCAAAGAAAACCAGTCTCGAGGCTCTATAATTATACCTTATTTTGGTCTAAAAATGACATTTTTCAGCCTATTGCTGGCATTAGTCACCAGACTCAATTCCATATGAATTTTAGCTTTTTTCTAAAATAAATTCACTTCAGAAGACAAAGATTTGCTACTTACCACCAAAGACGATGCTGCTGATAAATAATGGTACTTATCATGTGCCAGGCACTGTGTGCAGTGCTTTCGATTCATCCTCACAGCATACTTGCAGTCTGCAGCTCAAAATTAAGTAACTTGCCCAACGTCACACAGCTGGTGCTTGGTGGAGCCATACTATTGACCAAATACCCATTATGTACCTGGTATTTCCCTGTGTTATCTCCAGTCCCTATGACAACTTTGAAAGGCAGGTGGGCACATTACTTCACCTCTCTATGCCTCCATTTTCTAGCTGGTAAAGTGGTGACAATAATTGTACCTGACTTTATGGAAGTTATTGTGAGAATTAAATGGTTGGACACATGTGCAGTGCTTAGCATACCTGGCACAAAACAAGTGTCCTATCAATGTTAGCTGCATGTCCCTTTACCTTCATTTCACAGATAAGGCAACTGAGGCCCAAGTCCCTAAGCAATTCAAAACCAGCCCTCCCTGGCTCAGCCTATGCGATGCAAAAGTGAAAAGAAGGGACTTTCTCCAAAGTCTGAAGCAGTGGCTAAGAGCTAAAGATTTTGCCCAGAAACAGACCCAAGTGTCCTGCTTCACCCTGTCCCAGCTGGGTGACACTGGGCAAGGTTTCCCCCTTGCTGCTCAGAGTGCCTTGCCCTGAACTTCAATTTCTTGATCTGGCAAAATAATAAATTTGCATTGCAAAAAGGTCCATTCAGGTGGGCTTATCAGAAACCTGGGAACTCTGCAGCCTGAAGGTGTGTTCAGGCTCTTGCAAAATAGAAATAGGCCTGAGCTTGGAAATGGCTGGTTTCTGTTGGCTTTATTTTGTCGAGGTTGTTTGGGCTTCTTTCATCCATCACAGTTCTGTTGGTGTTCCATAGCCCCAGCAGACTGTCCTAAAGGGAAGTTTTTCTCAGGGAACCCTAGACTTGCAGCGCCAGTGTCCTGGTCTTATCCTTGCTTCAAAGCAAAGGAGAAGGAAGCTCAGAAAGGTTGAGTCACTGTTCAGGGTCTCACTGCTGGGCAGTGAGTGAGCAGGATTCAAGCCAGCTGTCTGAGCCCAGAGTCTGGGAGCAGCACCATGGTGGCCTATGGAGGAACTTCTTGACTGCTTGTTAAATGAAGCCCTGGTGGCTGCTGGTGCTGGCTGAAGCAGCTGAAGATGATATTCGAACCCAGTTTTTACCTTACGGAGCTCATAGCCTGGGAGATAAGGGTTAGTTGCAGAGGGCACAGAGGATGAGACAAGGGCACTGATGTAGCCTCTAAAAAGTAGAATGTGATAATTGATGATATTGTGGGACTTCATGGCTTTTCACAGAATCAGTGTGAGTTAGAAAGGCCCTACAGGTCCTGCAGTGTGGCCTCCAGCAGAGTCAGGAATCCTCTTATACACACAGCCCCCAGCCTCTGCTTACACACCTTCAGGCACAGGCTGCTCGCTGCCTTCTGAAGCTATCATGCTGCACAGGAACAGGAGACCAGATCTGTTTCTGCCCAGTCGGCCACATGGACCAGGAGCAGGAGACCCTTCAGAGAGAAGCGGATGACTGACACGAGAGATGGATGAGGGCTGGAGCCAGAGGGATGGGTGGCGGGGCTGTTATGGCCTGGAATGAGGGCTCATTCAATAC